AATAATTATTTTATTATCATAATTATAAAAGTGCAATCCTCTTTTGGCTAGTGAGGGACTGAACCAGTACAGATAGGCATGTAAGTAAATAATTACAAAGCAATGTGTTAGGGAATCAAAGAAGAAACATACCAAGCTTTGGGTCTAGGGTGAGGGTTGAGGGAACATCAGTCAAGACAATACAGAAGATGATGTAAGTTGAATCTTACAAGATAAGTTTCCTAGGCTGACTCATGTAGGTAGAACCTACCTTCTAGAAGAAGGCATGGAAACATGGTAAGTCGCATTATATTTAGGAGACAACAAATGCTTTAGTTCTGTTCGAGAGCATGTTGTTTGTGAGGAAGCAGCAGAAATGAGAGTGGACAGCACAGTATCTGGCACACAGTGGGTGCTACCTACACATTTGTTAACTGAATGGCAGATAAAGAGGCAAAGGTCAGATTGTGGGGACTTGATTTTATGGAAAGGAGTTTGATTGCAAAGATAGGCCCGGGAGCACTGCTGGGATACGTAAAGCAGAAGAGTGGCGTGAGCCAACGGAATATGATGAAGATTCCCATGGCAGCATTCACCTGGTTTGGGAATTTTGCCTTTCAAAATGTCAGATAAGAAATATTGAGTATCTAATCTAATGTAGTGGCAGGGAGTTTGGAGGGGACCCACAGGGTGATTAAATGAGTGGCATGAAGGAAGGAGGAATCCAGGTTGACTCTCAGATGGCACTTCAATGATTTGGGGGGAGATCTGGTAACGATAACCAAAATCAGGATTACAGCAAGTGGAACAGGTCTTGAGAAAAAGATGACTTAGCCAGTTTTAGGAATTTTGAGTTTGAGAATGTTTTATATCCACGTTGAGTGGTCTAACAGGCACGTAGAAATCCAATGCTAGAGGCCAACAACAGCCCAAACTGAGATACAAGTCTGGAAATAATTGATATGCGGTGAGATTAAATAGAGTCCTGCAGAGAAATTGTATCAAGTAAAGTGAAAATAGGGCTGAGGACAGAACCCAGATGACCATCAAATATAGGAAGGGTGTAGCAGGTAACACAGTCAAGGAAGAGACTGGGAAGGGCATTCTGAGAAGCAAGAGTCTCGTAACATGGAAGTGTCAGGAAGAAGAGTGAGGCTGGTAGTCTTAAAGGGAGTCAGCCACAAAGTAATACAAAAAAGAAATTTGGCTGTCCGTGATTTGACAACTAGGAAGTTGTTGGTGACTGTAGAAAAGGCCATTTTAATGGAATGATGGAATCAGAGGTCAAATTGCAACAGGTTAGCAAGTGGGTAGAAAGTGATGAAAAGAAGCCAGTTAAACTTAGTATCGAGGAGCAAAGAGGTGAAGTAGTTATCGGGCACTGAGAGTCCAAAAAGGTTTGGCTTTGTATTTGTTTATTCATTTTTAGGAAGGATGGAACTTGAATACATTATCTGGTCACACTCTCTAACTTCATAGGCTGCCTCTAGCTGTTAGATGTATAAATCACATGGAAAGCAAGACCCTGGCAAACCATGAAGGATATTTTGATTTCTCTCTCTCTCTTTAACTCTTGTCTCTCTATCTCTCTATCTTCCTAATCTCTATCTCTCTGTCTCTCTATTTCTATCTCCAGAAGCAGCAGCCTCACTCAGGTATAATGAATTCACCTGTGTGATTTACTTTGTCAATCCAGTGAAAAGTCACATCCTGGGTGATGCTTTATGACACCCTCTGTTTAATTCCAAGGGAAATAAGCATGACATACCATTCCTGGGACAGTTTTGTCAGGGAGTATGAAAACTCTCTGGGAATTTAAATGGACATAGCTGGGACTGTGTTCATGACCTACACCACGGGAAGTATTCTTCTTAGTAACCTACTAATCAATATGTCCTTTCTCCAGGCTATTAGGTGCAGGTAGCACATGACCTTTGTGCTTGCTTGTTAATTTTGAAATTTGAAGTTTTACTGCACCCTCAAGCAAAATTTTAAATAAATCTGTTTGTTGGTTTTTGGGGGTTTTTTTGGAAAGTTAATTTTTTTCCTCATCAGGAACTTTTCTCATAGAGAACATTCTTACACAAGAGGCTAACTAACCCACACCTACCACTGAGAGCCAGAGATGTTTGGCACACTCTGTCTCCAATGCTGCAGAATGGGGAGGATACATCTATTATAACTCTCCACTAATTCTTTCAAGAGCAGGTCTACAGCAAAAAACTATCATTTTCCACAGGAGTTTCTAATCATATGTACATATTGTCTACACTCTTTAACTTTCTTACATTTTATGTTGTTAAACAGGCATCAGCTTTATGTAAATAAAGTTGTTTCCTTGGGCAGCATGTTCACTGAAGTGCCAGAATTTTTGCCTTCTTTTTTGTTGTTGTTGTTTTTCTGACCTTCCCCCTAATTTGCATTTTCCCAGCATAAATCACCCCTCCTACTATGATGAGAGGAATCACAATAATTCCTTGAACTTGTTAAGAGAAGAGAATAGATATGATGTTGATGGGGGTAGGGAAAAGGGAGGGGGGGGAAGGGAGGAATTGGTAAAGGGCCACAAAAATCAACTACATTGAATAAATTTTTAAAAATTAAAAAATTAAAATTAAAAAAAAGAAACCTCAAAAACAAACAAATTAAAAAAAAACCCATCTGAACAAAGGTGCTGCTGGTATTGGGTCAGGGGTTCAGTGATTTCAGCCCCAGCATCTCTGTTAATCTTATTAGCCTTTCCCTTGTGATTGTTGCCTAATAGTCAAAAGATGACTGTTACAAGGACCGATGATATCATGTCCAAGTTCAAGACAAAAAAAAAAAGGAGTGATTGGCAATTCCAGCTCAAGAAAAACAAGTCTTCCTAAAGGCTCCAGAAGATTTCTTGGCCAGAACTATGCCATGTAACCACCCCACTGCAAGGGAACTAGGGAAAGTATTCACTTTTCCAGTTCCTAAAGTGGAGATGCCAAGAGAAAACAGGATGGTGAATGTCTGTTGAGTTAGTGAATAATGTTAGACACACCATTATCAAGGAACTTCTTGTTCTAAAGTCTACAGACTAAGGTTAAAAGACCTGTTGTACCTGTTTTAATATTCACTTCCCTTAGAAAATGCCATTTTCCAATTCTGTTTTACAGGTACTTGAATATTGATATTAGGTCACTCAACCTTCTTTCCTAAAAGGAATATATGAATACCATTAGTGCTAGATTTGGTACCAGGTGTAGAATAGTTTTATTTGACGGTGCTGTTGTTTCTTACCTGGGTTAAGAACATTCTCTTTGGTAGCAGGTCTTTTTTGTTTGGAATGAGATGATTTGCACTACTAAATCCATAAATAAATTATTTTACAGGTGGCAAGACAAAGCATCTGTTGTTATTATCAAATCCTTAACCTAATGGCTGTTAAGTAACTCCCCAAACATTCTGGACTCCTACATAATTTCAGCATGCAACCCTTATTTTTTTCCCCTTTTGTGAAACTTATTAAACCATTAAACCACTTAGTGATATTCATTGCATTCGGTAACACTGAAGTCATACTCGTTTTGACAGTTTTTTCCCCCTTTTCTTCTGGTTTTATCACTTTGATTATAGTCAAGGCACACAACTTGATTGAAAACAAAAGGGGGGA